CGGGGTGCGCCCAGGCCTCAGCTGCCTCCCGCCTCACCGCAGGCTGCGCCTTCCCCTACGCCGCTTACTCCATGCCGGCCTCCTGGCTGCACAGCCGCCTGCACCAGCTCTTTGTGCCCGCCGCGGCGCTCAACTCCTTCCTCTGCACCAGCCTCTCCTGCTACTCGCGGTAGGTGTTCAAAACGCGCGCGTGCGCGGGGCAGGGAACTCCAGGCAGAGGGACCAAAGGGGACAGCTCCACTGCCCTTGAGCGATGCGAGTGAAGAGCTTGCTATTACCATGATCTCCTTTCGTTCTCGCAGCCTCCTGAGAGGCAGCTGTCCGCCCATTTCAAAGATGTGACCATTTATTGAGGAATCATGTGACCCAAGGGCTTAGTCACCAAGTTTCATTCACACCCATTTCAGTCCAAGATGCCCTCCCCTCTCCTGACTCATACCCTGCCAGGGATGGAGACCAGATCGCCCTTTCTCCTTGCTCAGTTTCCCGGAGATGGAGAGCCCTGGGCTTAGTAAGGCCCTCCGCACAGCCGCGTTCGCCTACCCCTTCCTGTTTGACAACCTCCCACTCTTCTACAGGGTAAGAGTGCCGAGGACCTCAATTGAGGCCCTGCCTCCTGTTTAAACTGTCACAGTGCCCGTTCAGACTGCTACTCTGCCTTCAGCCTAATCTCATTTCCAATCCCGAGATCCCTGACATACCATTTCTGGTCCCATATTCCATACTATCAGCCCTGCTTTCCCTTGGCAGCTCGGATTGTGCTGGGGCAGGGCCCGCAGCTGTGGGCAGGAGACACTGAGCACCAGCCACAGCTACCACCTCCTCTGTGCACTGCTCACTGGCTTCCTCTTTGCTTCACGCCTGCCTGAGCGGCTGGCACCTGGACGCTTTGACTACATAGGTGAGTGCACTGAGCCTAGCCTGGCCTGGAAAAGTGAGGTGGTAACCCAGGAGCACAGAGAAAAGGGCTGAGTAGTAAATGGGTATTCCAGCCTGAGGAAGGATCCCCTCCCTTTCCTAACATCTTTCCTCTGATGGTCCTGCCTCTCACTTTTCAACAAGCAGCAGATGCTTTATTCAATTCAGCTTGGGAATCAGGGTTGTTTTTTGTTTTTGTTTTTCCCTCCCCATGGTATAGTGGAGCGGCAGGCAGAGGATGGTGGCTTGCTCTGGGACACAGGGTAAGGACAGCCTTGAGAATGGACCTTACTCTGTCCCATGTTCCTTCTAGGCCACAGCCACCAGCTCTTCCACATCTGTGCAGTACTGGGCACCCACTTCCAGCTGGAGGCCGTGCTTGCTGATATGGGATCTCGCGGAGCCTGGCTGGCCTCACAGGAGCCTCCACTAGGCCTGGAGGGCACAGTAGCCACACTGGGTGTGGCAGTAGCTGGTAACCTGCTCATCATTGCTGCCTTCACAGCCACCTTGCTTCAGGCCCCTAGTACCTGCCCCCTGCTGCAGGGTAGCCCGCTGGATGTGGGATCCCAAGCTAAACAACAGTAAAGTGCATCTCTGACCCTAGCCTAGAGGGATGCAGAGGCCTGGTCCCAGTACTGTAAAGGTATCCAGAGCTGGGCCTGAGTTGGGGACATCTCAGAGCCAAGAATCGATGAGGAGAGGCAAAGGAGAGAGGGCAGAGAAGAGGGAGGCCGAAGGACTGGTAGAGATGGAGAGGGACCCAAGGGGCTTCTGATGGAGTGGAGGAAGTGTTGAGGGTCTGTGAGGGGAGACTATTTTCAGGCTGGGGCTGTAGGAAGGGAGGTACTGGGGCTTTTTCCTCTTGCCCTGCTTCTGGTGCTCTTGAAGTATGTTCAGCCCAGAGAGAACTGACACAACTAACCCAGGCCACCCTGAATGCTTCTTAATCTGGTGTGTGTGGGGGAGGGGGCAGGAAGGGAGATGGAGGGACTGGGGGACAGCACACCCTTGCCCCTACCCACCACCCAATGTGCTCTTTGCTAGAGATGAGTTTGTCCTAGTCACAACTGTGTGCCAGGTGTTTAGGCCTTTGGAGGGCTGGTCTGTTTGGGAGTAGATTGAAGTTGGGAGTCCTAAGATAGGAGGAACCCTGATTACACTTTAGAAGGCCATTGCCCATGTTTGGTGGAACAAAACAGATACAATAAATAAGTCAATTGACTTTGGGAAGCAGTTTCTGGAACTGGAGCTGAATCCTTTCCAACGCCAAGCCCTCCCTTCACACTCCACAAACTGGACAGACTCAGACCCTCTGGACTTTATTTTGAAGCAGCTGGGATGTTCACACGTGCAGGGCAGACGGGGAATGAGGAGGGAAGGGTCCCAGAGAGGAGCCAGGCTGCACTAACCACCTACAGTCCATGCCCTAGACCGGGCCATAGAAGCGTTGATAGGCATCTTGGAAGCCGATTTGGTCAGCCAGTTCATCGCAGTTGGGGTTCAATTCACATACCTCCCTCTTGGGCTCCAGGGGATCTGGGTAGGGGGCTGGGGCTCTGAAAAGACCCCAAAGTGGCATTACCACCATGCAAAGGGCCCTCCCCCTCTTCCCATTGCACAGACCCTCTACTAGGAAGGACTGCCCTGCTCCATAACCCCTAGCAGCCAAGGGAGGCCACCCTACTGCAACTTTCCCCTGCCATTCTAGAAACAGAGGGCTGGGGCCTAGGACCTTCTTTCGGCTTACCCCTGCCCCTGGTCCACGTAGCGCCGGGGTCTCTTCATCAGCTCGCTGCCTTCCTTCTTGGATTTGAAGGCTGTGGAGCAGAGGGGCAGGGATCAGCTGGCTCTTTCTAATGGCCAGATAGAAAGTAGTAGAAATGGAGAATGGGGCTGAGGAAAGGAGGATAAGGGAGGATTGACACGGGTCAGGCCTAGCCCCCTGTACCTGTACCTTTGCCAGACTCCGCACCACTGGGCTTCCCATCTGCAAAGAAAAAGGAACTGGTTTGCACCTGTCCTTTCCTAGGGCCTCAACTTCCTGCCCCCACTTTTCTGGAAATTTGCTCTGCCTTCCTTTCTCTACACAAATTGCCAGAGCTTATAAGAAGGTAGCTAGAAGCCGGGCACTGGTGGCTCACGCCTGTAATCCTAGCTACTCAGGAGGCTGAGATCTGAGGATCGCGGTTCAAAGCCAGCCCGGGCAGGAGAGACC